CGTGTGCTCTTCCGAAATATGGTGAGCGTAAGTTTGGAAGATAAGAAAAAGTATAATAAAAAGTTAATGATGTATGATTGTATGGTGGAGGTGTGTGTTTGTGTAACAGGTATTGATGAACTAGCAGATCCTATATCAACTTATAATTCTATGTTAACCCAATTGGTTCTAATAGAGTTCAAGGTAGGATTCTTAATTATTATTATTATTATAGGAAAATCATAAGAAATATTCTTATGAAAGGCTATACTGGAAGCTTGTGATACAAAGGCATTTAACAAGAATTTATTTTCATTGTTTAACCATTGTAAAAAAAAATTGTTTTGGATATTGGGATTTCTGAACTATTGAAGAACAAGATCGGTTGTAATGTCCGAATTGAGTAGAATTTCGTTTGAGTGCCTTTTTTTCTTCGGAGAACCATTATCTAAAAATACACCTAAATATGTGTGTATACAAAGCCAAATTTACAAAGATAGATGTTTTTACAAATATTTATATATACAGGGTGTCCGGTATTCAATAGTAAAGCGCTTGTGGGCAGGTAGAGTGGGATAATCTAAACCGAAAAGTTCTCTACCATTTTGCGATCTTCGCAATAGTTATACTAATCATTAAAAAAAAATTTACGCCAAATATATAAAAAAAGTATTGTACATTACACTTTTTCTAAAACAAAAATATTATTTTAACAAATAAAAGTTATTCAAAAACAAATATGAGATTATACAAATTGCCAAATATTTGATTAGACATAAAACAAAAATATTTTATTCCAAATTAAAAATATGTTTTTAATAAACTATTTAAACCATCTAAAATTATATGCAGCAAAAGTTTAATGCCATTGTCTTTCCAAATAATTTTAAGTTTCGCAAAACGGACTTAAAGTGACTAAAATGACCAATGGGATTATAGTAAAGCAAAAACTTGGCCATTATGTATAATTTTTTTTTATAATTAATATCTCGATAACTATTACGAAGATCGCAAAATGGGAACTTTTCGATTGAATTTAGCCAACTTTACCTGCCCACGAGCCGCGCTTTACTATTGAGTTCCGGACTCCCTGTACATATAGGTATTATAAATATAATTGTACGTATATATATTGCTTCCTTTACACATCAACACACACATTTTCTTAAGCATATATTATATATCTCCACATAATATTTGCTTTTTTATATATTTATTTTCAACACAATTCTTAGAATTTAATTTTGCTTACATAAAAATTGTAGCATGAAAAGATTTTGAGAGAACTAAAAAATAACGGACTCAGAGAATTTAGAAACTATATGTATATTCATAATAATGCGAATATCAATATTGTCCGTTGTATCCATTCTTTATAAACGTTTTTAAATATGCACGAATTTTCTTTGCATTATGTAATAACATTCACAATTGTAAATAACAATCACCACAACAGTAACGCAACAATAACGATATTTAACAACGCAAAATAATTTACATAGTGAGTCCACGGCAATGAATAACACTTGAAACGATAATTGCAAATTTTCCTACCGGTAGATCGGACGGATGCCACATCAATGATCAAAAAGATCGCAATTAGACCGGAATGAAAATCCATCGCTGAGAAGAGATGCGTGAGAAATGGACATAGGAATCATAGAGTTGCGGGGGGAAGCCACTGCGGGACGGCGCGACGAGGTAAAGATTTACCTAAATTTGATTGGCCTGTTAGTTTGCGCAAGCGCAATGATATAAGTTCTCGTGTCCGTGTGATACACATATGTATATGTATAATAGACCGATTATACTTGAAAATATTCTTATTTGTAGGCACCTATGCTTCTCTCTGCTTCTGTTGTATGTCGAAATATATTTCTACTTCAATATTTAATTTCTTCTCATATTTTTTCTTTACAAATATGAATATTTTTCTTTTAATTCTGTCTCAATATCACGCAAGAACTAGCTCATTAAAAAAATTATTTAAAAAAAATTTTTTTTAAATACCGCAAATTCAGGGTGTGGAATTCCATACCCACGGAATCTCTGGGTGTGGAAAGCTCCATACCCTCTATAAGGAATTAAGTCTCCGTCCCTGCTTTTACGTACGTGGGACTGCGGGAACCGTTAGAGAACCCATTTTTTTAAATTAATTAACACATCATACTGCCGAGTTTTTGTATAACATAAATTATATTAAATTTCTATGACTGTGTGCGAAGCTTTTGTATCTTTTAAGTCTTTTATTCCCTTTACACAGAGCGAGCAACTTTCTCGTTTTATGAGCAATTATATAATATACTGATTGATATGTGAACATCGGAAAATTACGGCATTTTGTAAGAAGTAAAATAAGAAAAAAAATGATTTGTAGGATATCATGCGCCTATGTGAGATACCAGTAATTTACTTAATTTACTTACATACAGGCACGGCGATTTGTCTCGACTCTAGGTGTGGAATACTGTGGAAATTTCTGATAAAAAATCCTTTTCCCCACTCCCTCCAATAGTTGATAAAATTTTCCAGTACACACATTTTTTCTTTTAACATTTAATTATATTTAACTTGAAGAAATTGAGGCTCGTATAATGTATAATCATAAATAGCCAATAATACGAGCCGACACGGATGTTGGCGTGTAATAATTTTTACTGTTGCAATATCAAGCCACTGTGCATCGCATAAACTGTCAACATCCGTGTTGGCTCGCAAAGGCATTATAGGCTATTTATGATTTAATTATTTATTTTTTACAATCAAAAACGTGGATGCTCTATAATTATTTTTACTTAAGAATTCATTTAATAATTTATCAATGTCATCATCCATTATAGCCTCCGCTAAATCTCTGTGGTCGGGTGTGGATTTTTTCGGGTGTGGAATGCTCCACAGAATCCATACATAAAACGCTGGACCTGTTTACATATATTATTCTATTAGAATTTAAAAATCCGCGATGTTAAATGTGTCTTGAACAAAAACAAAATAAATTGTGCGATTAATTAATGGTGACAAGTTTTTATTGCAAAACGGCTAATTTAATCTATACTTATTTGATGCTGTGGCTTTAACATAATGTGTTTAACATAATTATCTTTCCATGAAAATAAATAAATCTAGTTACTGCAACGACTGTACTTATAAAAGTTTATAATATGAAAGAAATTACTATATAGATTATTAATTTTTTTTTTTAAGTAAACGTGTCTCGTCGCTATGTTATTTCTACACTTATTATATCGAAGAAATTCAACAATAATGTTATACTTTGTTTAATTTGTAATCACTATAAAGAAAGTAATTAATTATATATATATATGTATTTATTGATATAAATTTAGCTGGCAGTCTCTGTAACATTTATAAATAAACGTTAATCTTATTATTTTTTTCATAATACAAATATAATATATTTTATTTTGGATTTAGACAGATTGAAATAATGCATTTCTCAGTCATAATTTTTAATTGAATAACATTCATCATTCATTTTCACAGAAAAATTTTTTTTAAATTTAATTAGATTGAAAAAACTGCATTTTCTATCCAGAATTTTGAATTAATTTTGAATTAAAGTATTCAAGATTTACTTTTTAAAGCTAATTTTTTTTTACTGAATGTCATAGAAAATGTGCTTAATGCAATTCCTGTAAATGCAAATACAAAGGCATTGGGCATTGAAATGGATACAGATTTTCAAAAATACGCATTCGCGAACATTGAAATGAATTTTTTTAAATATATTTTAATCCATTCTTGTTTACTGGATATGTGTATTATTTAATCAGAATTAACTTCTATATATACATATGTATATATGTATACATATGTATAAAATATTTAATATGATTATGTGTCTAATTCGGAAATTTGTTATAATTTCTTATAATGATTTGCAATATCACTATTAGCAGGTGTCTATATACGTAATATATAAAATTCATTATATTTTATCTTTTATTAAAATTTCAATAATTTGTTAATATTAATATATGTATATTAAATTTATCAATCTCCATATTTTTGTTATGTATACTTATTGCGTATAAATTGCATTTTATATCAAGAACATACGTAATATCTTTTTCTCAGCGTATATAAACGTTTACACGTTTGTTCGTATCAATTGACAGCTATCACATTCTTTATTTTCTCTACGAAATCGTAACGCATCACCTCCCCTTCGCCAGAACTTGCTCTGACATTCGATCTCTCTTTCTCGAAGAATTTAAATTATTTTGAAGCAATATATTTTTGCCAAATGATCAAATGTGACGTATCTTTTCGGTAGATTCACCGTCTTGCTTCCCCGAAATGTTTAACGATAGATTTCGATGCGTATAATATCCAGTATGATTGCTTCAGTGTATTTATTGCCGTAATTTACGAATTTTAATAAATATAATTTATTGAATTCGATTGCGGCTCGTTATTCCATGGTTTATTTCTTTGCGTTAACCGAATCCGCTTTTATGTCTGTTTACAGTTTTTGCGAGGCTCTGTCGGGTATATGCGTGTACATACGTCAGGCCTGTTCAAATCTTGGCTTGCGAGCTGTCGAAAACACTACCACCTCTACTTCGTCTTGAGCAAGCGAGACAGAGAGAGAGAGAGAGAGAAAGAGAGAGAGAGAGAGAGAGAGAGAGAAAGAGAGAAAGACAGGCCTGTACCGGGATTCTCATACCGACAATCGTCATTAAACATTTAAGAATCTCGGTACTGGTGTATATAAGTACGTGTGCGGATCTTTCGAGCGATAATTGTTTCGGGAATACTGTACAGATCGCGAATAGCAGTGGGCCACACTAGTCAGAATAAATGTGACGAAACTTTTAGTGAAGGTAAGTACAATTAACTTCCAAACATATAATCAAAATTCTTGAATTTTTAAAAGAGCATGAGCGTTGTGTTAACGATATATTGCCTGCAAGACATTTTGAAAGCGTTAAATTATGGACAACACTTTTGTTTGATTTATTAATATGCACACGCACGGATCATCTTCGCACGAAAACTATTTCAATCTTTTATATCAATTGATACTCTCTTTTCAACGCTAAATAAAATTAAAGCAAACTAATGCATCTAAATGAGATACAATATGAAGTTGTAATTGATCGATTGCTAATTAAATTTAAAAAATGTAAATGTGCTCACGCATATAATCCTTTTATACAGTTTGAAAATCATATAATCATATAATCACTTTTCAGATGAAGATTTTACGGGACGGTTTGTTACTTTGCATCCTAATCTCATTACTTAGCGAAAGCGTAGCAAATAAGTCTTCTTTTAATAATGGTAATTCTATTTATATTATATATGATATGACATAAAAATTTATTTTATATTAATTAACCTATCAAAAATTATTTACATAAAAATAAGTTAATTAAACATGTACATATATATATATATATATATATATATATATAATATGTTAATTATGATGTGTGGTTCGTATAAAATGCAAAAGTGTATAATTTTAAATATTTAATACTAGTGTTATATGTATAAGCGTTTTAAATATAATAAAATTCTTGGTATTAAATATAAAAATTAGGCATTATACAAATCACGTGAGTTCTCTTCAATATTTGTTTAATAAAATAAATCTTAACTTTATAAGATTATAGACATAAAATTTTGTTGTTATAAAATTGAATTAAATATCATCAGTAACAGAAAGTTTTACATATTTGTCGTAAGAATCTATGCATGCATATGATCTGTAATTGATGCAATTAGATTATTAAGTACTTTATACAGTCAATTTTGCTAATTTTATAATATATTACTTTTAAATATATTATTTCATATATAGTTTTGAGATAACTTATGTGACGTATTCTTTAGGTACACAAAACCAGGATGCCTCACAAAATAACGACACCATCGATAGATTGTCAACAAATGTTAAACCCATTGGGTATAATTTTCTACTGAATCCATATAGACATAATAATACATTTTTTGGCTCCGGAATTATTGTCATTCAGATACAGGAACACGCAACTAACAATATTACACTTCATGTTGGGAACAGTATCGAAATCGAAATAATAACAACTTGGTCATTACTTGATGAAGGATTAAGGTGTCGGAACATTAGTTCGACTTCGTATGACAGTATTACTGAAATGTACACTATCAGCACCTTCGAAACCTTAGCGAAGGATGAGTTAATACATATTTACTTTGAATGGAAAGGAAATTTATCCGACGATACGGTCGGATTTTATAGGAGTTTCTACTTTGAAAGGAACGGTACAACAGGAATGGAACAGATCAAGTAATACAATAATACAATTTATTTAAACGAACAGATTAAGTAATACAATAATACAGTTTATTTTACCACAATAAGAGAAATAAGAATACGTTATAAATATTATTATTTCCAGTAAATGATGCTTTCTAATACGAATGTCTGTTTAAAATTAGATGGTTAGCTGCGACACAATTCCAAACGACATATGCGAGACATGCCTTTCCGTGTTTCGATGAACCAAGTTTTAAAGCCAAATTCAGTATCGATATAATAAGATACGACAATTATAGGATTATAAGTAATATGCCATTTTTAATAACTGTTCCAATGTAAGTGTCAAAATACGTATATTGACTAATATGCAGTTTCCCCCAAATCAGCTTTTTTGATTTAATGAATTTATAATACATTTGTTTTTTAAAGAAATTGGGAAGGCAGGAGCCGTGATAAATTCAAGCAAAACATTCCAATGCCTACTTACTTAGTGGCCTTTGTGATTTCGGAATTCGATTTTATAAATTCAACTTCTTCTGGAGAAATTCAATTTAAAGTATGGTCCAAACCATCTACCATTAATCAGACTCGATACGCTTCGAAGATCGGCACCACAGCCATCGAGCTATTTAAGAAAAAGTTCAATCAAATTGAACTTCCTAATATGAACATAGTGGCTATACCTGGAAGCATCGAAAATTCGGGATTGACGTATCGCGAGAGGGATGTGCTGTACGATGAGAAAGAATCGTCGGCGATAGCGCAGCAGAGAGTGACTTCCGTGATCGTACACAAGCTGACACATCAGTATTTCGGGAATTTGACAATACCAGAATCATGGAACTATCTGTGGCTTAGCGAAGCATTCGCCAGGTACTTTGAATATTTCGGCGCTGCGGAGGTAAGAGCAATATTTAGGATTTTATTTATTGTTGGACTATTATTAAATAGCTAAAATATAGCTACATATAATTTATAAAAGAAAATTTGTATATTAAATATTAAGTCTAAATAATTAAACTTTTTTACACTTTTAATTTTAAACAATAAACATATAATTATATTGTATTTATATTTTTAAAAATAAATGGTTGATTGATTTATCTTTTGACGTTTACAGCATTACTAAGAAATCTAAAAAATTGTACCTAAAAATTTTTACTTTTACAAAATTATTTCAATTTCTTTTACATCTTTGCAAAATCTGAATTAATAAATCCTGCTTTGTAACACTTTTGTTTTGTTATAGATCGAGACAACATGGAATATGAAAAAACAATTTGTGATAGAGCAAGTAGCGTTAGTAGCAGACAGTATTGATAAATATTCTTCTCCGATGACTCGTGAGAATTCCCATAAACCGCAAATCGGAGAATTAGTAAAGACAGATTATATTACCCATAACAAATATATAATTTCGATTACCAATTTCGTTTAAGGGATTAGTTCTTTTGCAAGATATATCATGTAGAAGTCATATTCGTTTACAATCTTTGTTTTTAGAATGTTAACTCTTTCCTGATTGGCCGTCACATTCACTTCGTGATGTTTAATTTCTGATGAGTGCAAAATGATCTGGCTTGTCGGTTGCATAACGTCAGCTTTGATCTCCACTCTTCCATTGAATATAAAATTCTTCTTAAGATAAGACATAATAGAAATGACATATCTTTTAGGTTTTATATTCGTTATTAAGCGAAATTCTGACTTGTGGTATGCTTGTAGCCATTGAATTATAGACTTTGCACAGGAGTTATACCATTTCAATTCAAACTGTAAAATTCCTAAATTGATTGAAATGACGTGAAATTGTGATTGGCTATGAGTTCTTTGAATTTGTTCACTAATTCGTCGGTAGAGAGATATATCGACTTTCTAGTGAGGATTGTGGCTATTGCGTTCCGTCCTCCGTAGCTACAAAGGAAGATAGCATATTTATAAATTAAAGTAGTTTAAACCGTTTCTGTACGTGTGTGTATGAACGTATATTAAGTGGATTGTCCTTAAGTGGAAGTTAAGGATTGTCCTGAAGAAGCTAGTATTGTTCGTATGATGAATCTCGTATTCGGAACCAAATTTTTCGAAGACGCATTACCCACTTACATACAAAACAAGTAAATATTACAGTAAACTGTATTTAATGGAATTTAAAAATAATTAATTTTTAATTTGTTAAAAAATATTGGATTTAAGAATTTGATAACAACGTAATTTAGAAAAACAACGAATATAAAATTAGAAAAAGAGATTACACATTGTATAAATAAGACATTTTAATTCATTGATATTTTTATACAAAATCCATATCTCTTTCTCTCGATGCGACTGAGAAATTGTATTACAAAATATCTTATTTATACAATGTGAAATCTCTTTCTCTAATTTTGTATTGTAGCTTATACATATATATCTTTTAGTAAAATAAAAAATTGGTCTATCCGGATGATTTATGGAAAGCAATACAGGATCAAGTAGTGGAATCAGTAGATCCAAGATTAAAAATTGATGTAAAGACCATAATGGATACTTGGACTACACAAGCCGAATATCCCGTTGTAACAATCGTCATTAATGACAACGGCGTAATAAATATTTCTCAAAATCGCTCTCTTCTGAGGAATCTTTATGAGAGTCCTACGAATATCACTTGGTCTATCCCGCTCACGTTTACTACACAAAGCAAACCAGATTTTAACAACACAATTCCGAAGTACTGGATGTCTGCCGAAAGGTACACCGTTCCTGACAAAGTTGATTCAAAAGAATGGATAATATTTAACGTTCAATCATCGGGTTCGTATTAAATAACAATATTTCTAATTACACAAGAATAACTTAAGAACTATTTATATAAACAGCAACATCTAATAAGCGTTATTTCATTAGACAGTTGTACTATTATCGTATGCTAATTATCATATTGTTTCTAATTAAGAGATTTTCATAAAATTATTTAAAAATATATATATTCTAATAAAATAGTAATTTTATGCACAGAATTTTATCGTGTAAATTATAACAACCGCGGATGGCAAAACATTTTTAATAACTTGCAAAACGGTAATCTGGATGATATTCATGTATTAAATAGAGCTGGCATTGTAGACAATCTGTTAAATCTGGATAGAGCAGGCTATCAAAATTACGATACAGTTCTCGATAGATTTTTATCTTAAATTTCTTTATCTTAAAAGGGAAACGAATTATTTATCCTTTAAAGCAGCATTTACCGGCTTCGAATATTTAAATTTGAGATTTACAGGAACACTTTCTCTTTAAGATTTATTTTTGTTATTTACATTTAAGAAATAAATTTATATATAATTTAAAAATTAGACTTAATTGCAACAAAAATCCTATACGCATTGTTTATTATGTAAATTTTTTGGTGTGATTTACAATTAATATTTTATTTATTATATTATATTTTATTTTAACATTTATTATAAAATTATTGAAGAACAGATTTCAGAGAAACTAAATAAATTTCACAATATTTATATAAATTTATGTATAAAAAATAATAAATTTGTTGTACATAATTTTTAATGCTGTTTATTTTATATTTCTAGAAATATGTTCTTTCTCTTAATATACACATCAAGTTAGGATATGAGGATAACAAAAATGATATATTAACGATTCTACTACGACAAGAGGTGAATAAGTGGCTCTGTAAATTCGACGATAACGAATGTATAACAATTTACAAAGAGAAATTTAGACAGTGGAGAGCAAATGCTACTGCCCGGTAAGAATATACCTACAAGTATTCCTGTTTCGATTTCAAGTGAATTTTTTCACGATTTTCATACAGTGTACGTGGATATGAATAAAATTCATTACAGAAGTAGCCTCTAGCATTATTACGAAATATATAAACTTTTTGAAATCATCTATTCTATAATCAATAAGATAGTTTCGATTGTGTGAATTGGGCTAACTACCGTTCAAATGTTTTCTTACATCCCCAATTATTATCACTGAATACTTTATCGAAAATATTGATAAGATTTAATTATGTGAACTGGAACCACTGTTCGCGATCGCTTTTTCGTATTCTTATCACAGTGTTCGTGCAATATCGATAAAATAATTTTGACTGGTGAACTAGTAACTACTACTCGAACATTTTCTCTCTGTCATATAAATAAAAATTGAAATATTAATTCCGTCTTTTACGTGCAATCTTAAAAAAAAATTGATTTAATTATTTTAAAATAATTTTACTATAGTTTAACTAATGTTTAATATTCGACAGTATCGTGCCGAACGAAAGGGCCACAGCCTATTGTGTAGCCATAAGACATGAAACATCTGAAGACTGAAAAATTTTGTGGGTGCGGCCAAATGGTGATTCTTGAAGCATTAGGATGCAGTCAAAATGCCACCATCTTAGAAGAGTAAGAATTAAATATATGCTAAAATATGATTAATATCGCTATACCACTTAATATACGTACATACTATTGTTACAAGCAAAATGATTACTTAGATTATGACATTACTTATTATAAGTATATGTAGAGAGTAGACTATTCACACACACACACACACACGCGCGCACACGCACACGCACACGCACACGCACACGCACACGCACACGCAAACGCACACACACACACACACACACACACACACACACACACACACACACACACACACACACACACACACACACACACACACACACACACACACACACACACACACAGAAACAGTTTAAACATTTTCTAACCAGTTGATATATACAATTACAAATAAAATATTTACATTAATTTTGAGTGATATAAGCAATTAAAATTTTTTAACAATTTTTAATATCTAATTTGGCCTGTATTAAAAAATATAATTAATATATATATTAATATATTAATATATAATTAATATATATATTAATATATTAATATATAATTAATTTATATTTAATTCCGAAGGAAATAGCGGATATCTATATCAAGCAAATAAATATATGTGTACTATATAATGTTCCATTTAGAAATTAATTACTATTATTTTATGTAGGTATCTGCTTTATGCCATTACCAATTACCTATTTAACGTTTCGAATTCGTAAAGAGGACAGCATGACCGTTTTTGACGCCGTTTGTAAGGGCGCCAACTCTAGCCTGCTTGGTGCCAATTTGGTTTTTGATTTTGTTCAAAAATATCACGAAAAAATAGAAAACTAGTAAGCTGTTTTCATATGATGCAGTAATTATGCGATATACTAATATAAATTCACAAAAAGAATTCCATTTGTGTAAATAAATACGAGATATTAATAATGCATTAACGTATAGATATTAATATGCATTATACATAACTCTTAAAATATATTTCTTCAAATTCTTTTGAGAAGTATAAAGAATTATTTAAATGATATCGACGGATGTATAAGATCATTTCTACTTTAATTTATAAATATGCTATCTTTCTTTGTAGCTACGGAGGACGGAACGCAATAGCCACAATCCTCACTAGAGAATCGATATATCTCTCTACCGACGAATTAGTGAACAAATTCAAAGAACTCATAGCCAATCACAATTTCACGTCAATTCAATCAATTTAGGAATTTTACTTAAAGACTGCTCAGTTTGAATTGAAATGGTATAACTCCTGTGCAAAGTCTATAATTCAATGGCTACAAGCATACCACAAGTCAGAATTTCGCCTAACAACAAATATAAAACCTAAAAGATATTTCATTTCCATTATGTCTTATCTTAAGAAAGATTTTATATTCAACGGAAGAGTGGAGATCAAAGCTGACGTTATGCAACCGACAAGTCAGATCATTTTGCACTCATCAGAAATTAAACATCACGAAGTGAATGTGACGGCCAATCAGGAAAGAGTTAACATTCTAAAAACGAAGATTGTAAACGAATATGACTTCTACATGATATATCTTGCAAAAGAACTAATCCCTTAAACGAAATTGGTAATCGAAATTATATATACAGGTCATTTGAATGCGAAAGAGCATCATGGCTTTTACAAAAGTTCTTACGTGAATGACAATCGAGAAACCAGGTAACGTTGAACATTATTATTCACTCAATTTATGTCAAATAAGTTAGAATTAAATATTTTCTGAAATATCTTTTTTGTTTTAAGGAACTTTTATTTTTGTAAAAATGCTGAGAAAAATTTCTAAAAATTAATGTATATATATTGATTATCATTTATTATAATTAGTTATTTTACAATAATTTACAATAATCCTTCAACAATAATTTAATTTTAAATTTTAAATTTTAGATTTAGTTTAAAAAAAAATTAAATTTAAAAAGAAAGTATTTCTATATCTATGTTCTTTTTTATTTTTAATTAAAATTTTTATATCAAAAATTAAATGTAAAATGTTTTATATACTAGGTGGCTTGCAACCTCATACATGAAACCTACTGGTGCCAGAAAAATGTTCCCTTGCTTCCAGCAATAAAAGCGAAATTCTTTATTGATGTTATCGTTCCGCGAAGTTACAAAGCCATCAGTAATATGGATCAAGGGCTTATAATCAATAACTCGTATGTATTATATAAATTTAAGTATATTTCTTTAAAACAATTTAAATGATCCCTTTCTCACAAAATTTTTAATTAATTGCATATATATTTTACTTTGATATTATAATTATTATATGGTTATTATTATTTGTTTTTAATAAGAAGAATCTGACAATATTAATATTAATATATCTTGATTATAAAAATGTGATTAAATATCATGTTGTTTTGAACATCATATGACTTTTATACAGTATTAACAACAGAGCGTATGTTATCAATGCATTGTGACAGCAAAATTACATGGTTTTTATTATACATCCCGTCGAAACATAACGAATTAAAATCACTTCTTAACAAATTGTTGCAGCGATGATCGTACTGTTATATACGAATTCAATGAATCAGCGCTGATGTCAACGTACTTAGTGACACTTATCGTTTCCGATTTCGAGTCTGAATTTAGACAAACAGATGAAATCAAATTCATTGTGTACGCACGTCCCAACGCCATCAATCAAACCAATTATACTCTATCCGTAATGTCTCCATTGGTAAAATACTTCGCCGATACGTATAAACAGAAATATCCGCTTTCAAATCTCTTCGTGGCTGCGATACCTGATTTCTCATCAAAGGCAATGGAGAATTGGGGCCTTCTTACATATAGTGAAACGAATATTTTATACGATGAGAATCACTCGCCAATCACAAGCAAGCACAATATCAGAAATATGATCGCTCACGAGATCTCCCATCAGTGGTTCGGAAATTTGATCAGTCCTGCGTGGTGGAAGTATCTATGGTTGAGCGAGGGATTTGCCACATATTTCGAATATCATGCTACCGCTCGTGTACGTAATTATGTAAAACACCCCAATGATATAATGCCAATTTATAATTACGTTATAAAAATTATGTTTAAATCTTTAATCACAAATTTTTCTATATTAAGAAGAAAGTTTAGGAACTTTTTATTCTACACAACTCACACAAACCCAAAGATCTTCTATATTGTACATACACATTGCACATCTTTCTGCACTTTAGTATATAATGAAATAAATTTATTATTTATATTTTAGACATTTAATGACACGACATTGGAATCGCAATTTGTGGTGGACCAAATACATTCTGCATTTAAAGCAGATAGTTCAAAAATTACACATTCTATGAATCACGATGTTACAATTCCTTCTGAAATTCAAAATAAATTCGATACAATCACTTATGCCAAAGGTGCTAGCGTACTGAGAATGATCGAAAAAGTATATGGAATCGATGTGTTCAATGATGCATTAATTGATTATCTTAATAAAGGGTATGTAGCAATAATGTTTTTTTATTACAAACATTATTTTAATAACAGAAAATTCTTTAATTTGAATTAATAATTGTTTTGGACTATATGTTTATTGAATGAACTGTTACATATTTTAACAGATTAATATAACTATAAATATTTTATTTAACAATTATAAAATATAAATAATATTAGTATATTTCTAATTATTTGCATAGAAACTGTCAAATTAACGTATTTATTATATGAAATAAAAAATTTTAAATTAGCTAAATGTTTTTTAATATATGTATAAGTATAATTAATTTTATCAAAGAGACAAATAAATCATAATAAATCAATGCAAATAAAAGAAAAACTTTCTGTGGCAGATATATTATATATAGCTATCTATTGACAAATGCGTGAAAATATCGTTCAATGCTTGAAATACGACGAATCAAAATTTTATTTTGTAAACGGACACTTTTCTTAGAAAAAAGAATTAATCATTTTCTTATTTATAATTAGGAAGTTCAACGTTGCCACACCAGAAGACCTGTATGCATCCTTTCAACTAAAAATAAATAAAAAAGGATATCAAACATTGAAACACGATGTCAAAGTTAGTTTAGACACATGGACCACTCAACCTGGCTATCCAGTCATTCATGTCTCTGTTACAGAAAATACAATAGTTATAGAACAAGAACGTTTCTTCTTTGATAAATGGAATAATTATGATAATACTATTTGGCACATCCCAATTACGTGGGCATCAGTTGAGAATAGTTCAGAATTCTCTAATACGACTCCGATGTTTTGGATGACAGAAAAAAAAATAGAAAGAGAAAAATCGCCAGATTTATCACTTTTAATTTTCAACACGCAGCAATC